ATAAATTATTCGAGAAGCTGAATGTTGATAGAATGAAGTTCCGAATTCAATTGAAATTTACAGTTCCAAACATGAATATACCCCCAGCTGATGTAGCCGACGATGAGGATTTGCAATGGTTTATGTCTGTTCACACAGAAGTGGCGTTGTGTGTAATTGCAGATGAATATAATGCTGGAGAGCACGAACTGCATGTCGGAGTTGAGCATTTGTCACCAATAGAAGATGCATTATGTGGACGCGATGAAGTCGGTATGTGCGAACTACAAGAGCCACAAACGATTGATAATGTGGATGAAAGTTTAGGTGAAGGCAATTTGTTTATTCGAAATGCAATTGAGTCGATTGATGAAGAGGACATTGTGGAGAATAAGATATTCTTTAGCAAACGACAGTTATACACAAGGCTTCAACTTAAGACTTTGAAAGAGAAGTTTCATTTCAAGGTTAAAAAGTCGAATCCTAGATCTCTTACTGTGTATTGTGTCGATACTACATGCCATTGGCTAGTACGAGCTTCTAAGATAAAAACTTCAGAAATCTTTACGATTCGAGAGTACATACCTAAGCACACATGTTCTCTAGACGTTCGACGAAATGCACAAATTTACGCAACGAGTGCAATAATTGGGCATCACATAATGCGAAGGTTGGACGATGCAAACCAATCATACGTTCCTGCGGGTATTATTGGAGATATGGAATGTGAGTTTGGTGTACGGATTACCTACAACAAAGCATGGAGGGCTAAAGAGAAGGGACTTCGATTTCTTCGTGGTACACCCGAAGAAAGTTTCCAGAAATTGCCATCATATTGTCACATGTTAACCGAGAAAAATCCAGGAACTATTGCACACATTGAACTCGACTCGAATAATAGGTTCTTGTACTTCTTCTTAGCGTTCGGGCCTAGTGTACGTGGTTTTCGAGAATACATGAGGCCAGTAATTTGTGTTGATAGAAGTCATTGAAGGGCCAATATAAGGGAACACTACTAGTAGCTGCAGCGCAAGATGCTAACCTACAAATATATCCTCTTGCGTGGAGTGTTGTCGATGGGGAAACAAATGCATCGTGGTATTGGTTCTTTGCAAAGTTGAAAGATGTCATTGATGATTCAAATCAGCTAGTGTTTGTGTCGGACAGGAAGAAGAGTATTAAGTGGGCAATTACGAGGTTGTTCCCACTTTCTCACCACGGTGCTTGCATCTGGCATATCGAGAAAAATCTTATTGCAAGGTATAGCAGTAGCAATGTCATCTTCTTATTCAAGCGGGCAGCCCTAGCATACCGCGTATCGGAATTTGATCAGTTTATGACACATATAAGAACCATTCGACCGTCAATGGCATCTTACTTGGAACGTGCCGGTATATCCACCTGGTCACGGGCACATTTTGTTGGTAATCGGTACAACGTTATGACGAATAACATTGCGGAGTCATTGAATTCAGTCCTAATGTGACAAAGAAGTTTCCCTATAACCTCGTTAATCGAAAATATTACGTCATTGATGCAACGATGGTTCTACGAGAGAAAAAGTGCATCCACGAAATGTAGTACGACTGTGACACCAAAAATTGATGATGAATTGAGAAAATCATTTGACGCCGATGCAACTTTACCAGTACGAAATTTGGACGAACTCGTTTTTGAGGTAGGTATAGCTACCGAACTTTGTACTGTCGACCTTATAGGTAACACATGTTCATGTCGAGAGTTTCAGATGCGACAAATCCCATGTTTACATGCATCCCGAGCTGCTTGCGCAAAAGAAAAATCATTGTATGATTTGTGCTCCTCTTACTACACCACAGAATATTGGCGAGCTGCGTACAATGAAATTCTTTACCCCGTTGGCCGACAGTCAGATTGGGTTGTTCCTCAGTCTATTCGTTCCGTCGAAGTTTTGCCCCCGAATATACGTAGAGCACCAGGTCGACCTCCTACCCAAGGTCAACAGTCAAGAACTGAAAGGTCGACGTTGAGACGAAAATGCGGCCGATGTGGGGGTTCTGGACATAACAGGCAAACATGTCAGAATTCGACATCTTTAAGTGACACGTATACTTGAATGACATTGTGTATTCTGATCGTCAAATGCCATGATAACATGAATTATCAATGTTTTGAATTTTTTTCTTTTGTATTACTTGCTTTCTACCTCTTATTTTAAATGTTGTTGAATATATTTTTGAATTCTACTTCTTTCTGTTTCTTTCTTCGTTCTCTCTTGATATCACTTATTTGCAATTGTTTGTTGTAAAATTAAGTTTGTAATATATTTTGAATCCTTTATACGGATTCCTCCCATTTTTTGTGATTTTTCTCTTATATTATTCTAGTCGTTCAAAATTTTATAGCGCACAAATAGGAAAATTCGTATGGACTTCATTTTTGAATGTCATACTGGATACAAACAAGAGAGGCCAAGTTTGGGGTATAACTACCAACAAGGGAAATGGTGCTTACATATATTCTTATAAACATTTCACTACGATATCATTTTGTTCATCATATAAGTGAATAAGTACATATCTATTTTATCACTGGGATTTTCTTAATCATTGTAGACACAATGTGGTAATGGATACAAAAGCAACCTATGAATGACTCGTTCTCCTAAGTCATTGGAGCAGACAAAATGGTAATCACAACAAAAGGAAGCCATAACTCCAATACATATCGTAGACAACTATTATACAAAATGGTAATCACCCAAAAAATTATCCATCACCTATATGGATTTTATAGCACTACTATATGTACGTAAACATTTCACTTACGATGACTGCATCTTCTACATATCCTCCACGACGGACAAAGAGGACATATCACTGTCGTACTCCTCGTCGGAGCTTATGATGATCACATCTTCATTTTCGACGGGAATTGCTCCAACATTTTCATCCAACAACACATGATGTGCTTCCGGTTGGACCGGTACTGGGACGATCTCACGATGAACTTGAATTGGTTCAATTTCGTCGATTAGATTCGGAAAATGGATTGGTTGAAGGCAAACCCTACGATGGTGGTTCGAAGGTTGACGAACATATGGAACAAAAATATTGCTTTCATTATCCGAGTCCGAGTCAATGATGATCGGGTTGTCTACGGACGACCCAGGGGGGTCGAAAGTGATAGTAACATCAAGAACAGGAGTATGTTGAGTTAATGAAGACATAATCAATGGAAAAACTAGCTAGTGCTATGACTTTGTTAAATTCTCGTATGTACATATATAAGTAAAGTTCAACATTTTATACTGGAGAAACACTTGTCCGTTGAATGCACAATAAGATATCTTACCAACCAATATGATTGAAGTCATTGATGGTGATTATTTTACAACTTTTTTTCACATCAATATGGTTGAGAACGTACTTGTGCTTGGCATACCAACTTTAACTGCTATAGTAATTATAAAGCTGCTTGCTACAGTCTTCGCAGTTAATACACCATTTGGTTGCCTTCACTCTTAGTTAAATTTGGTTGGATCATATTTATGTTGATATTTGATGCCTTCTCGACATTTGTAATGTCGTTATCGACATTAAATAGCTGTTAATCTCGACACTTGACATTATGAATGTCTAGAACGACACTTGGACCAAAATACGATATTTCTCTACATTTCTTCGATTTTCGGACGTTTGATATGTCGTTCTCGACATTACATAGCTGTGAATCTCGACACTTGATATTTCATTTGTCTAGAATGACACTTCGAGAACATATTACATACCACCATATAAATCGAAATATGCAAACCACTGTGTAAACCAAAATACATTTTACGTGCCACCACATAAAACCAAAATTCATGTTATGTACCACCACATAAAGCAAAATACATATTGCAAAAGGCGGTATCATGAACCGGCTGATCATCAACAGTTACACAAGCAAAGTACAGCTAAGCCACGACAACTGTTTCACTATCGGGGATAAAGAAAGTATTCGTTATTCAAAAAATCGACCGTAATCTTTCTTCTGTATATTGACATTCTCTCTGCTGAAACTGATTCTATTGGATGCCCGAGAATGAAGCATTCTATATACTTGAGTACAAACATTATGCAATTTGGCCTGTACAATAAATGATTTTTCGTTAGTCGAATTAGTATATACAATAGATTAACTACGGTAGTAAATAACAAGAGTTGAAATGCTCACCCATTGTTCGCACACAGTAGATAAGGTATAATCTCCATCTTCATTGGATCATTTATATGTTTCTTTATATCTCGTCTGGTAGACAGAGTTTCACACTGCAATAATGTTTGAACGACTGTGCATGTTGCTTCTGCGTGAGCCTTGATTGCATCAGGTGTGTGAATATTATTGCTGCAGTCATATATGTAGAATTTCCATTCACCAATATTGACCAGAAACAGATAACATTCATTGCCTGGATATGCACTTGGAATTAATAAATACTTGCATCCCATCCACGAACGACCAGCTACAGGCAATGTACCGTTGACATAGTCTTGTAGGCGAGTTCCATCTGATTCACCTGTCTGGTTATATTCCATGTGCCACCTCATTTGCTGACAACACTCCTCTTCAAATTGAAAATCCAAAATTGCATATTTTTTATTGACGAGAGTACAATCTTCATTCATACGCTGCCTCAATAACTTCAGTTCCAGCTCAATATGCTAATGCAATAAATATATGTAACATATATTATACATATTAACTACGAAATTAAATTTATTGTGATTGCAAACCTTCACTCACTGCAATATTCAGATCCTTCGTCGGATCCATTAAACTTTTTAGCATGTCTCTTCCATAGACATTGCCACGGCCATCGTCCAAATATGCACTGTATAACATAATTTAAATTATTGTCAAATAATTTTTCACATAGATATAATAATGTGTAGCATTCTGACTATTCAGAATGAGTTACATTTGTTACCCAGATTGATTTCTCGATATCCAATTCCTAATGTCTTTGTACTTGTTCATGTCGTAGTCTTCTAAGGGACGGCCTGTGGATGATGAAGCCTGTGTGTATTTTCTTTTCCCTTTCTCTTCTCCGCATGTCAACACTTTCTGCTCGTTGAGACGTTGATGTCTCATGCGGTTGAACAGTAGGAGTTGGACTTGCATGGAGAGGAACATCCTGCTGCATGGAACCTATAATGGCTTCCATGTTAGATTCCCAGTTAGATAATCTGTTTAGCATATTCTCATTCTTTTCGTCAATGTAAGATCTGACAGAACATAAACTTATATCAATATAAGACTGTATGTGCTCCTGTTGCTGCTGGAATAATTCTTCTTGTTTTTGAAGAATCGCCTAATAATGGGCTTCTTGTTGTTGCGATTCCTGGGCCATATGAGTGCTAAACATATTTGATAGAGAATTACCCATGTATGACTACATACCATATAGCACGTAATCTTGCATCGATTTGTTATGTTGTTCGAACAGTTGCTTTTGGCTTTCAAGGATATCCTGGTTCAGGGCTCTGGATTCTTCAACAAATTTTGCCTTCAAGTTGCCACACAGATTGGATACATCTGATATCGTATGTTGCCTGTACATACCCAACATTTCTTCCATTCGATCTTCAGTTACATATCTGGAGGCACCAGAAGCAGAACTAGGCCCAACTCCAGTTGAAGTTCTCGATGTGCCACGACTAGTCGTTTCTTGCACACGAATGTTATCCGGTATTTGTGGTACTACATTATCTACTTCTCCAGTGACAATGGCATCTAATATATTATGTTCATCGTCAGCCGGCAGAGAAAGATTTGTGTACCAAGGTGTTTGTAATTCTTCCTCTGTAGGCTGCAATACTGCAATGACTTCGATCTGTAATCATAACAAACTATCAGAATCCATTTGTTTAATTGAACTTATTAATAATAAAATGCGAATGTCATTGTACGTTGAAAATAAAAAATTCATACATCTTGAGTATCCAAAAATTGCTTAACAACCGATTCCTTCAGTATAGTATTAGGCCTCCAATTATAGATTCGTGGAATCTGCACCGTTCTGTGTTTACGGCGACCAAACTTTTGTCCAATTTGTGAGAACGCTTCATATATCCAATACTGCAACGTAAAAAAAAAGAAATGTGATGTATAAATTTTATTCTCTGTACAAAGAAATTATACATAATACGTAAGTAATTAGAATAGGAACATAATACTTGAAATGCGAGTAGATAACCTTGTAATGCATACTTACATTCTGTCTGTCCATTCTGTTGCATCCTTATTATTCTTTCCAATTGTGACTCTTTCAAAGAATTTAACAAAACGAAATACGCTATTCGGTCCCACGGATATGTAAGGAATTCATCCAGATGTTCAACCATGCCCAGAGTTCTATAATCAACTTGTCGTGAAGTCGGTTTCAACACACACTCAACCAACATAACTAATCCCAACTTAAATTTATCTTCTGTATCTTCACACATATGGAAAGTTTCAAAAAGCATCCTATTGCTAATTTTTTTGTGCCATTGAAGTATTGATTTCTAAGACGATGGTTATTATAATCAATTTCTACGGATAGTTCATGGCAAGGTAGTCCAGTAATGAGGCAAAATTCTTGCAAGCCAAACCTAGCAAGATGGTCATCTAACCGTACCCAAACTTCATTGTTTTTGCCACAATGCACAAGTCTCATTATAAATTCATGTACCAACTTGCTAGTAAATTGTTCTTCGTCTCCTTTGAAAACAGCTCCATATATAAATCCATAAAAATTACTACACATCAAATAACATTGTTGATTTGCATCTATGAAATTTATAAAATCTTGAACGTATTGACGATTTGGATACTGAAGGATGGTAGCAGAAAATCATTGTTCTGGAGAGAGAACATATTCCAAAGACATCTGCATCAATTATACAAGAATTAATATTTTTAAGGAACTGTAATAAGTTTTTCAAGAATTTATATTTTCATTTGATTGTACACATCTATTATAGTAAAAAAAATTACTGTTAATTGTACAATTAATTATTTAAGAATTAATATTTTCAAACAAATATAATTTTTTTCACGTCTTTATACCAAACAAAATTAAAATAA